TAACTTGCCCAAGGTCACCCACAGGCTACAAGGTGCAGCTGGGATTCAAACCCATACAGCCTCCCTCGAGAGGCTGGGCTCCTAACTCCTAGGACGCACTGCCTCTGGAGCCTCTCATGATGGTACTGATCCAGACAGCACTGGCGCTCCGTTCTGGAGCTGGTCCTGGGCTCTGGAGGGAGCACAGGCAGCCGGGCTGTGGGGTACCAGTGCTGGGCTGGTGCCCAGTGACTAACAGCTATTGTCAGGATTGCTCTTCATGTGGGGCAGGATGTGGCTGTTTCTCCACACCCGGGGGTGCTGGGGCCCCAATTTCTCCCAGGCCTGCTGACAGGAAAAGGACAAGGGAGACAGTAGGGAAGCAGGAGAGGGAGAGAAAGAGAGACAAGAGTACAATTCTTACTTGATATTTTCCAGTGAGCCACATCACAGGGGCTGAAGCCGAGAGAGGGGGGCGTGCACCCTGCCCCCGGCATCCGGCTCATGAGAGGACTGGAGGGGCTGTCTATGAGGGGAGCCCAGGGGGTCCTCCCGGACTGCCCACCAGTAGGAGCACGGTGAGGAGCAGGGCCGGGACGGGGGGTGCCAGGTGAGGAGCTGTGGACGGGGCGGGGGTGAAGGGCTGGGCCACGGCCCCCCCGTTGCAGAGGCGCCCCTCACAGCAGGAGCCCTGGAGGTCGATATTTGTCCAGGGGCTGGTGGTGCCCGCGATGGTGCAGGAGGGCCGGTGGCAGCTTCTGATGTACACGGGGACTGAGAAGTTGCCTGGGGGCCGGGGCAGTGAGGAGCGGTCAGAACTGAGGGGGCAGCTGCGCCTGAGCCCCCGCCTCACAGGCCAGGCACACGGCGGGTCCCAGACTTACTTTGGGTCGTTCTCAGACTAGGGCCCTGCCTCTGCTCCCCTCCGAGCCACGCCTCCTCCTCAGTCCAGGGCCGTGGCCGCCCTCCTGCGGGCCGGGACCAGGCCGCCTCCCTCAGGCCTGCCCCTCCCCCTGCCCCCCTTCCAGCCCCTCACCGACGGTCATATGGCCATTGCCCTGGAAGCAGACGCTTTGGTCCTGGTGGCACTGAACCCGTCGGGACTTCTCCGGGGCGCAGTCCTTTGGGTGGATGCCCACGCAGGAGTAGCACTCGACGCCGCTGAGGGTTTGCGGGTTGGGCGCTGGCAAGAGCACATATACGCACAGCCGGCTATGGTTCCCGGGTACCGTGATGCGGGGTGCGCACCGCACCTGCGCGCGCTCAGAGCCCCGCGCGGGGGCCGGGGGGCGGTGCCCAGCCGACGCCACGCCCCTCACGCCCGGGCCGGCCGCTCCCAGCCCCGCGCACCTGGGCTCAGGTTGGGGATGGTGTAGTGGTTCATCAGGTCGGCGTTGCACAAGTCGGTCGCGCAGCCGCGCACCACCGTGTAGTCGGGCGGCAGCGCGCGGGCGTTGGATCGCATCTGGCCGCTGGGCGGGCCTGTCCAGCAGCCTTTCTGCACCATGGTCACCGCGGCGCGGTACCCTGCGGGCGGGCGGGCGGGGAGGAGGTCCTGGTGCGCTGCCCCCACGCCCTGCGCTCCTCCTGGCCCCCCGCTCCCTGGTCCCCCTCTAGTCTGAAATCTCGCCCGCCCCTGCCCTCCCCGCCTCCGCGCTTCTCTCCCATGCACCTGGCTTCGCCCTGCCGCCCTCTCATCACCAGCCCTTTCCTGCGCCCTCCCCTTTCTCTTTCCTTCCCAGCCCCTCCCCCACCTCCTCTTCCTGCCCCCCCTCTCCTGGCCCCCATCCATCCCTTTCTTTCCCTGCCGCTTCCTCCTTCCCTCAGCCCCCCATTTCTATCCTTATCCTTCTCCTCCTCTTCTACCCAGTTTCCCCAGAACTCTCGGCCCCTCCCTTCTCCGCCTTCCCCCCCTGATCTCTCCTCCTGGTCCCGCACCACCCCTTTCTCTCCTGCACTTCCTTCCTCCTTTTCCCGGTGCCTCCTGCCCCTCACCAGTGTCCACGGACAAGACAGCCTCGGAGCATCCGTGGAGACAGGAGATGTTGGGGAATTTCATGGCGCTGAGGTCAAAGGGCCCGAAGTAAATGTGTTGAAAGCTGTAGCACTGCAGGGCTTGGGACACTGCGGAGGGGAGCAAGGGTGGGGTGGGAAGAGC